TTCCCCTCCTGAGAAGTGCATCAAGCAGGTGAATAGTCTCGGCGTGCCACCTGAAGTGCCACCTGAAGTGCCACTGAAGCTACTTTCTCTGGCTTTTCTCAGAACAGTTTAAACTGAGATAGATCTGCTGTTGATCATGTTTTCCTCCTTTCCTCCCTGCTCCAGGGAGATTGCTGGGCTCAGAGCATTCTTGACTTTCAGGTTGGTAACTGGGAAGTGTATTTCTTATAGGAACATGTTGACTGGGGTCATACAGAGCCTAAAAACACACCTGGTGGTTAAGTGCAAACAGTGACATGGAGTGAAAATGAGAGACACGGCTCCTTAGGTAATCAACACAGGGCATATTAATGTTGAAAACTCTTACAATAGTTTATTGCTTTTTTAAAGCCAAGGTGACTTGTTTCTCAGAGTCCAGTTTAGAAAGAGGAGTCTTAAAACATGTCATTTGGTGGGATTGGTGCTAGATTAACCAAAGAACCCATTTAGCATTCTTCACATCAGCTTTAGGCCTAATACTGCTTGAAATCATAATGAATATGCTCTGAAAGTTCAAAGTATTTCTATAATTTAGCATTACGTTCCTTAAAAATAGAAAATCATATCCTGACATTTCCATGTATCAAATATAGGGATCCCAGCTTGCTGAGAGGCAGCAACAGCTGACAGGGAGAATGTGGACTCAGAGTTGTCAAATGCTTCTCATTTCTATCAGAAGGGTTGATGTTTCTATGACTGGAATATTGAGCATGAGAGAGGCTTCATGTGATCACATAATTTGCTTGGAGAAAATCCCGAGGACATGATCACTGGACAGAGGGCAATAAGCAAGTCTTAACAATTGTATAAAGTAGTTCATTCTCCCTACTTTAAATCTTACTGCAAATTTTCTATTGATTTTTCCCAATTTATTCTCTTGAGCTCCCAAAAATCTTATGAAAGTTTTTATTAATTTTTTTACATAGCATTTTCATTTTATTACAATCATTACATAAATAAGTGTCTGAGAATGATTTTAAGTATACAGGATGACAGGTGTAAGTTGCATGCAAATAGAAGGCCATTATATACAAAAATATCTGCAGGTTGTGGTCACCAGTAGAGGTCTGAGAACCAGTTCTTGGGATACTGAAGGATGACTGTACTTATATCCATAGATTGCATTTAATTCCTTAATAACACTCCATTGCATGAATTTAATGCAGTTTATTTACTCATTTTCCTGTCATGGACATTTGAGTCTTTTGCAGTATTTGGTTATTATCAAGAACGACCCTATGAACATTCCTGAATATGTAGCATGCGGGACAAATGCATAATTCTCTAGATCTTTCTCTGCTTGATCATAGGACTTAAATAGCATTAACTTTAACAAACAATACCAAACTGCTTTCCAAACTAGTGTTCCACTCCCATCAGCAGGGTATAAGAGTTCTTTACGTCAGTAAGAATTACTTAAGTACAATTAAAACTCTGGCGCTCTCTAGTGGTCAGAAAATTTGAACTATTCCTTTATGTGAATTTGTATTTTACTCTGCCCTCTAGCCTTGCACACAAGGTGTAACCTAGATATTCTGCCCTCACGTGAAAAGGGATTATTTAGTGGTAAAATAATGAATTCCAAAATTCTGTGTTTTATCACACCTCTATGCCTCTCCACTAGGAGGCCTGAGACAGACAAACTAAATTAAGGAGTCTGACCCTAAAACAAAACCTGTCGGGAGCGGGAAATATTGTCTCTAATGCTTTTGGGTAGCTCTGTGATTCCGTAAGAATGGCTGTGGGACCTTTAAAATTGAAAATTAAGATGACTTAGTGGAATTAACATCTGTTTTGAAACTACGCAGATCTGGGCTTCAATCCAGCTCCTATCGATTGGCAAGTGTTTAACTCCTAAGCCCCAGATCCTCATAGAGCACAGGCTGGTAATAATTACACTCCTCAGAGCTTCTGTGGACTTGAAGTGTGAAGGCAGGTGGAAAACTTCGCCCTCAAATTGGTAGCAGATGGTATTGAGAGAAGGAAGATGATTATTGAGACAGGTCTAGGTGAAGGCAAGGTTTTATGAAACCAATTTTCTGCACTAATAGGTCTGTTGTGGGTGAGCCTGACTTGAGGTTCTTGCACTTTGGGGCCCATTTTCCAAAGTCTCTGATCAGTTTGCACCCTTAAAATACAAGTTCCCTAATAATCACACAACATTCACATCTACTTGTTCATTCTTTTTATTTTTATAGAGCATGGCAAAAGGAAGAGACAACTGAATAGGTGAGGGTTTTGCACAATGGTAAAACCACCCTGACTGTCTCATGACTTCACGGGGACCAGAGATGAGAGAGTGCTCCTGTGAAGTGATTCTGCCACACAAGAGGCAAGCTGAGAGCGAGAGGATCCTCAGGGTGAGGAGAGGGAAGGGAAGAGACCAACATTACAGTTATTTAAAATGACTTCAGAGCTAAACATAATATACATAGTAATGCCATTATCCTAGTATAAAAATAGTGCCAGAAACTATATATTTGTTCAAATATTGAAAAGGTATAAGAAGAATACAAATAGATATTAACAGTGGCTAGTGATGATTCATAAGGTTTATATCTTCAAGTGTAATAGAAGTTTTTATTTTCAACTATTTACACACTGCTTTCAACAACAACCATTTTAAGACATGCTTACACAGACTTGTGATAAGTATACGTAAGGGTGAAGTGAGCTTTAATACTTTCTTCTTCGCTCCCTGGGGTAGAGCAGAAGGGGTTCTGAAATGCACAATTTTACAGTCCATGAGAACTCTGAGTTATCACTAGTTGGCTGTATATGGAAAAAATAACGGAATATATGACTCCTTACATAGTGTGCTCTTTTAGCTATTGGGAGGTTAAAGTGATTCACACTGGCACAGGATGCCCACTGATTCTTAATGACAGGTGCACAGTACATATGCTACAGAGGACGAAAGAGACAGAATACATATGCTATGCTCTCAAGTTCAATTTGCAGGATCAGAAGCTGTTAGGTCTCTCACCTGGCACCGCCTGCACAGACTGTGAGTTCATTGTAGTAACTGTTCTACCCCCACAGCCAGGCACAGTACCTTATATGTGGCAAGGACTCAATAAAAGGTGGACTCCTGCGTGTCTGATACTGAACAATTAAACTGTGTCATCTGAATTTCAACTTTGCCTTTCATAGGAAAGGCTAGCAATTAAACTTTCCTCCTCTCATTTTAAATATACTGTATCCACCACACTGGCTTTGATGGCCCAGTAAGATTCAGGAGTACCAGGTACAATCTAGTGAAAAACACAGGAAAACTGAAAAATCAAATTGGAGCAGGTCTAATATTTGTCCTACATCCTGAAAATAAAGGCACTTCACTGCTAGGCAAGAATCTATCTGTGATCAGATTCCTTCTAAGAAGCCAATATTTCCAGTACATTTTCATATACAGTACTTTCTTATCTCCAATATTGCTGGTAAATGAGACGATTCTTCATAATTGAGAGATCAGTGGTGACAGCTTCATTATCCTGGATTTATATCTGAGGCAAAGCACTCAAGTAGCTCAAAATCTCATATTGACTGTGATCTGAACATGGAGCTGAATAAATGTATATTGCCTTTGCTTTGTCAGTCTTGCAAACACACATAAGAAGTGACCTATAGGATTAGATTTGACAGTGGTCTCCGGGGCTCACTGGGCTCTCCAAGTAGCTGCCTTCTCCACCACCCCACCCCAACCCTACTGCCAAGACAGGGTTTGCCCAAGCCTCAGTACTTTAAAATGCACAACTTGTACAGGCATTCGGAGATTAAGTGACTTGCACACAGGACTGTGACAGGCAAAGGCCAACCTTCTGAAAAACTTAAGGCCAGGGAATCTTACAGACATCTTTCAACAAGTTAGTGAAATAGTGGTGACTTTTTTGGCTGAAAATTGAAATTAAACGCACCATGTTACTTTGCTGAAATCAAACACCCAGCCCACCACCAACCAACCAACCAACCAACCAAAAACAAACAATATAGAACAAGAAAAACTTTTTGCTAGTTATGCGTAATATAAATATAGGGTAGGGTGAGGAAGTCCTATATGTATTTTTTCCAACTTGGGAAGATACTGGCAAGGAAATACTCATATAACAAAAATCCTGATTTGTGCCCAGATACCACAGATAGTAACCTATGTATGGAATGATTGTCTTACAAATTAAAATTTATTTTAATCAATTAACCACTCCTAAAGAAGTATTCCCTTCTATATGAACTAAAATATCCAAAATTAATCATGGCAGGACCTAACTTCTTTTAATGACTAAGCTACTGAAGTAAAGTAAACCATTATCTAAACACAAAACAAACAATTTCTAATCTAAATGTATCTTTGTGCTTGTTAAAATGACACATGTCCACATCCTCCATACACTATCTACGAAGTCTTTAAAAAAATTCTCAATGACAACAGAGGGGTCTAAAAACACTACCGAAATATATGAATATATATTTTAGCATAACTGCTAAAACACAATGTGTGTGATAAAAAGATAACTTCCCTAAACATTACTATTCTTTAAACAATTTGTCTACACTACGGAATTAGGTGTGCATGCACAACTGTTTACCAGTGTGTGGATGTGGCTATTATTTTAGCGAGTCTTTGTAATTTACACATCAGTGCCATCAAGATTTGATCAGTATGACATGAAATAAAAATAGCTTTCTGCAAATATAACCATTGCAGTCACACACATAGCATTAGCTGATTAACTTTTAGGGTTAGCCTTCAGCAAAACAAAGTAACAGCAATACAATGTAGAGTTCTTTTGGTACCTAATTGATAAAGATAAAGCCACATAACTTCAAAATATATGTACATAGTCAGAATTTTGAACAGGTTGAAATTTTAGGCAAAGATTAAAGGGAAAAACAAATTAAAAGCACATTTTACAGAAAAGTCTTTGAGACTGCTGCATTAGAGGTGTTTTTTTTTTTTTTTAATCCAAATCGGTAATAGAAAATCAGTTTAAATACCATTTTTTTTTCTTGGAGGGATGAGGGTGGAAACTAAAAAATCAAAGCTCTTTTCCTATTGTCCCCAAATCTGAACATTTATTCAAATTTGGAATAGACTTTCCTTTCTTAAAGTAGCTGCTCAGTTCATTATCTACTTCTCCAAAGTGAATTCAGGGGCACCAATGGGCTCATATTCCAAGAAAATATGAGCTACTAATACTTATGGGAAGGAAATTCCCCAGACTATGAGCTAAAAGTCAGTATTTAGTTTACACACCCCAAACTCTTTGATTTTGGCTTGACTCATCCTATAAGGCAGGGGTGGTGAACCTATGGCACAAGGACCACAGCGGGTTCTTTGCGTCAGCGAAAGCTCTAAGAGGTTTGTCATGGCTGCTATAGACAAAATATGGCGGTTTCTCAATTGCATTCAAACACCAATTCTCAGAAGGATCCTCCGTCAGAACTTTCCTCTTGGCTAACTGGCACCCAGGCCCTGGTACTTCTGGATGCCGTTAATCACTTCAGTGGCATGTAACAAATGTACGGACAAAAATGCAATTGAGCACTAAAAACATTCATGCTATGCTCTACAAAGTTGTGCAAAAATAAAAATTTAGCAGTGGCAAAATCTACACCCAATCTAAACAGTGCACAGTGAAACCAGGTATACTGCAGATACACGGTCTCGGCAAACTCCGATTCTGAGGAACAGGCAGCTTAGTTCCGCTTGGCCTGGCTGTTTTCCCCATTCACCATGGTCTTCTCCTGCTGCTCTGCAAGAGCCTGCCATTTCTGCCTGTTCTTCCTGCAGCCGTCTAGCAAAGGCATGCAGTCCTCTGATACGTGGGTCAGGGCCTGGAGCAAGAAAAAGAAGGGAAATAACTAGAGGGAAGCCAGGAAATAAGCCCTCTCCCACAGCCCTGTCCGGAAGGGCCACATTCCATGAGCAGGCCCCCTGCGGGGGTTTTCCCAAACTGCATGAAATCCACAGTCACAGCTCACTCCCGAAGGATTCCTCGGAAACTGTACAAATGAGGAGGACGTGCTGAGAGACTGGACAAGCACACACATTCCAAAGCAACCTCACTGAGCCATGCAGACGGCTCTGTGTGGAATCTGCTTTTCAGGGAACAGTGCATTTGTTTCTCCGTAGCACATGTGGCTTCCTGAATGCAGAAAACTGCTGAGTTTTTGTGTTCTTCAGTAGACTGGCTTATACAGTGCTCTTAGGTGTCCATCCAAGATCATAAAAGAGGTTCATTCATAATTGATATATCTTCCCTTTTGTTTCTCTCTACTGTCTGGTTTTTCTACAAGGAGAACATTTACTTCTGTAATAACAGTACAAATATATGCCAGTGTCACCGATTTTCAACAGATTCCAATGGAATGAATCCTTGCACACACATAAAACATAGGATAAAATCTACAGTAGGTGATGTGATTACTATTTGCATGCATTCACAGAGATGGCAAAAATCAAAAGGCCTTTAGTATTTTCAACTGAGGAGCTCTGTCCAACCAATAGGGAAAGAATCTGCTATGCAAAGAAAGAGATGGTCCAGAGGGCTTGGAAGGCTGCTGCAGAACCTGTAAACAAGTAGAAGACTGGGAAAAGGTGGGAGCCAGTGCCCTTGGACCCCTAAGGCCTTTTTTCTTGTTTCTTTTGGTGTGTGGCTTGCCCTTTGATCTTCTCTTTCCTCCTCTGCCACAGCCTTTTCACGAATTTCTCCTGATGGCCAGAACACTAGAGGGACCGGGGGTGAGAACTGGACTCTGGGTGCAGCTGCCCACCAACTACCTGTTGCTTGGGGCAAACATTGTTTCCCTGGAAGAGTAACTTAACAAATTCAATTACTGAATATAGGTAATATCTGCATTAGAAAATTCTAGGTTCTTCTGGTTTTGACATTCTGTGATAACTCCACTATAAATGTTCTTTTCCAAGTGAATAAAAATAGTTTCCTGTTCCAACTTGTGATTGCACATAGCATCTCGTGCACACTAGGCAAGCACTCTACAGTATCACTAAGTTATATCTCCAGCTCCGGTTTGAGCTTTCAAAGACAAAGGCAGTATCTACTTCCTGTACTTGGGCCATACACATCTAATCTGGTAAACTGGATATTTTAGGGAGAATCTTTATACTTGAAAAAAACAAACCAAACCCCAAAGAAACCAAGCTATCAGAAGTGTAGAAATTGGAGCCTGCACTATTCTTACAGCTATTCAGAATATTCTTATAGTTCTCAGAAAAATTCTCTTCATATTATATTCACAGTATGACAGTGATAAAAGATTGGGTAATTCTTTTTCCTTAATTAGGCTAAAATTTAAACTTAGAAAGCAGGATGTTAATGGGGAATCTGCACAATATACCTCCTGGAGACCAGGCACCATGAACACATAGTTCGTCTTAGTTTTTCTAAATCAATGTGTTGCTACTTAGCTCACAGTAGGCACTCAACAGATATCCAGACAACAAATGAATTAGTCTTTGAGAAACAGAAAATACAGCGGCACCTCAGTTGGTTCACGAACACGATTCTTTCCATGATTCTGGTTGTAAAGTCAGTTGGACAAGAATGGAATCAAATTCAGTAGTTAGGTTCAATGTTGACCTAATGGGAAAATTTAATTCAGTTCTCAATCCTTTTTGGTTTGCAATCAGAATTGTGAAAAGAACTGAGCTTGTGAATTGAAGTACTGCTGTGTAAATATATTCATTTTTCAATGAAAACATGTTCATCAGGAGAAAAAAAACCACTATAGTAACTTTATTTATTTTTTCTTTATCTAAAAGCAATAAAACATACAACTAAATTTGATTTTAGCCAAAAGGCCAAGAAGTGATAAAACATGCAACTAGTTGCTTATTTTCTTGAATTTGCTTCAGGTTTTAATTCCTAACACAATCTAAATTTAGCAAGTTTTCATATAAATACCTCGTACAGTTGCAAGCAGATGGCGTCTATGAACCCAACTTGCATACTTGGGATTTTGTTTTTCTTCTCCCTATTCATTAGATCCTGAAAATGTAAATAAAGACACACAGGCACATGTATATTTACTTAAAGAACAATGAAGGTTGGTTAAGAAAATGATAGGGAGATACATTCTCTAATGGGAAGGGAAACTAAAGGTGGAGTAGGGGTGGAAGGGGCACAGTGGGGGAAATGAAAAGAATCAAGATATGCATATGTATCAACTCCCCATGAGGAATGCAATCAGTATGTACAGCAGACGTGTATTAATAACTATAAAGAATAAAAAGATGACATAATGGGCTAGCTTAGAAAGGTCAGACAGCAATGACATATGAGCCTCTCCTACACCTCCTGAAAGGAAAAAGACCTGTTTCGGTTTTAAAAGACAGAAGTGGTTCGAGAAGAATCGTTTTTCTTGGATTTGTGGGGGGTCTACATTCTACATAAAAGGAGTATACATCAAACACCTTTAAATTCTTTCTGGAAATTTACCCTAAAAAGATAATAAACAATGGTACAAAAAACTTTAGCAATGCTGATGTTTTTCAACATGCCATCTCTAACAGTGAATCCTGAGAACATCATTACACCAAATGAAGTGGAAAAATTATGGCTACACTTATTTCAAGTAACTGTAATAATTAAAACACAGAAGAGCATCTGTAAGAATAAGAAGTGGCTTATGACATTTATATAGAAAAAGCAGAATCTAAAAATGTGGAAAAATATTATGACTTCAAGGGCCTTTTTGGTCCTCTTATTTTCATGTGCTTTCTGTAATGAATATCTATAGCTGTTTTAATAAGAGAAAATGTTAATAAACAAAATGGAAAATTGCACACCCAAGAAGAGATCACATAGAAACATAAAAAAGAATAATGTTGAAAAGTTCATTTGAATAATTCCCACCAACAAAGTCTCATACTTACAGTGGGCTCTATGTTGAGTTCTTTTCTCTCTCTGTCTCCTTGATCAAAAAATTCAGTTGCTACAAGTTCTGCTATCTGAAATAAATAGCAGACTGAGTTTTGGGAAGGAAAAGCTTAACGTTCTTTAAAACAGAAGCTTTCAAAGAAGATAATAAAAGTCTATTGAATGCAGTAGTTTGCTACCACATCAATAAAATTAGAATAAGCCATAATGAGTAGTAGAAATTACATGTCATTTGTTTTTTAAGAGTAATAATAAGACCAGAGTTTTTAATCTTGTATAACAAAGCATTGAAAAGCAACATGTCATTTCAAGCCCGCCAATTAGTGGAAAAATTGTGTGGCTGTCTGCAGGCATAATCAGTGAGTTACTTATTAAGCACCTGTTCATAAGAGGGGCTGTGGAAAAACATCAAACAAGTCCATTTATTGCAATTGGCTTTTTAAATTTCTTTTAATCTACAGGTTCTCCTCTTTCCACTTTTTAAATTTTTCTTGCACTTTTCTATTCAAGATTAAATGAATATGCTAAAAAAAAAATTCCAAAGTGAGCTAGAATAGCACTGAAATGGAAACTTACTAAGAACTAGATTTTTTTCCCTGTTAATATTTGTCATTTTTCTTAGTATATCCCAGGTATCAAGTGCAAGGAATCTTCTAAAAAGGAAAGCTATTTTATGTCCAACTCTCTCCTTTTAACAGTGCTTCAAATTAGAGGAAAATTTTCATAAGCACTTACTTCAGAAGCTACCTATAAGTGCAAAGACATTTTATTTTGGCTGTTTAGTTATTACATTTATCGTCACTAAGCAACATACCCGTTGTTGAATAGGCCAAGGTTTTGTAATTGCAGAAAGATCACAGGCTGTCATCAACATGGCTCTATTAGGGGAAAAAGAAACCCCAAACTTCATTTACTTTTATGTGAATAGATATCTTCAATAAAACATCACTAATAAAGACATAAAAGCACAAGTCTTTCAACCATTAGGAAAAGCAGGTCATGGAGGCCAGAGGAACAGAGACAGAATTTATACAGAAGTGATAACAGTATGTTGTTGTTTTGGTTCTCTGCGAGTTCTTGGAATTTGTCCTCAAACTCCTCATTTAGCTCCAGGTTGATTCAAAGAGAAATTATTAACCTTTGCATAAAAACTTGCCTGCTTTTATTATTTCTTTCAGTGTGGTAACTATTCTCAGTGGCAGTATGATGAAAGCACCCTGATTATTAATAATGAGCTACCATCAGTTTACTGATGAAAGTCCTGTATCAGAAATTACAGTGGGTCAGCCTAGCTCAAATCCTGTAGTGCCTTCTATGCGAAAAGCCTCTGAATGATTAAATAGAGAAAGGAGAAGCCCCTGTCAGTCCTTCCCTGGTCAGAGAAGTGTAACCCACAGCATTCCTGGTGTGCTAAGGAGGTACTCAGGGACTGAGTACTGCAGCAACTGTGTGAAAATTGTTCTGTCTTTAGTACCCTGTCTTCCCATATCAGATCCAAGTGTCTGCCAAATAACCCCTTTAATTTGTTTGAAGAAAAAGACAAAAAGGCCATACCTATGAAAGAGAAAAAGACAGAACAAAGCATCATTTGTCCCTCTAGTGATACCCAACCGAAAGCATACTATCGCTACTTTACTTACCTGGCTGCTGCTCTATATCTTGTAATGATTCCCCCTCATGAAAGGAGCCCACCACAGCGATCTGTCATCAGTACTGGAACCCACTGGGTGGAGGATTTTATTAATATTTGCTAATATAAACTGCCTCCTCCAAGGAAGACTGTGCACCTAAATGAACTTAACTACAACCCCAAAACTGAAAGGGCAGGCAGGGATGCTGAGTGCTAGGTCTGCCGGACCTTTCTCAGGGCAAGTCCTAGTAACCTTGGAAAAGCACAGCTGGGAAAAGCAGCACACACTCGGAGTTCACGTTTCTTTGTAATTAGTGAGAAAAACTGTTCACTAACTGGAGTAGCACATCTGCACTTTTATATTCTGAAAAACATGTTGAGGCTGTTAAGTGGTACATAACTATCCAGAACACACAGCTGGACATTTATATATTGTTTCCTTCTATTTGTATCTTTCTTTGCATGCTAAATAATCTCAATCTGTTTAAAGAAATGTTGATTTCAAAATTTTATCAGCACTAGCCATAGCACTGTTAGTTCTCTCTCTTCCCTCCCTTCCTTCCTTCCTTCCTTCCTTCCTTCCTTCCTTCCTTCCTTCCTTCCTTCCTTCCTTCCGTCTCCCTCCCTCCCTCCCTTCCTTATTTTTCTCCTGCCTGCCTGCCTTCTTTCCTTCCTTTCTTCTTAAATTTTGTGACAGGGTCTCCTCAAATCACCTGGGTTGGCCTCGAACTCACGATGACCCTGCGGGCTCATCCTCCCAGGCGCTGGGATTAGAGGCATGTAGCAGCACACTTGGCTTCTTTTTTTTTTTTTTTCTTCATTATTGACACTTAGTTCTTTTTTATTGATTTAGTTCCTGTCATGGCTAAGGCAGTAACAGTAACAGCAAAGAGCTAGAAGGAGGTGGGGAGGTGTACTGATGAGGAAAAACAGAGGTCTTGATGCGCTGCATTTCTGAATGCTCTGTTAGCATCACCTGAGAGAAGCAAGCAGCTAGCTTTCTGCTACAGCCATCTATAGAATGCCACCTTCACCCCTTCCGTTCCACACCATGAGAATGAACAAAAGGGAAACATGGCTCTGAATTGATACTCTACTATATCACATTTGAAAAGTTCATGTAGAACAAAAGAACAATTTCTTCACTTGAATTCACAAATGCATTTCTTTTCAAGTTTATATTCACATTCAGTCCCTCCTACAATACTCTACAGCCTCACAGACCATCATGTTGTAACAACTTCAATTAAGAACTGATAGCGAGAAAATTCAGTAGCAGTTCATCTGTAACTTGCAAGAGTTAACTTGTAAGGACAATAAACTGACTTACAAAAATAATTCCTTTTGATGAGGATCTTCCAAATTGAATTGATTTTTTCTTATAAGTTCAAAAAATTCTCCTCGTCTCCTTGAAAATAAAGAATTTGGTAGTTATGTTGGGTCCACAGGTTTTTATCCCTTTGCTCTGTACGACTCATGGAGTAAAACACTAAAAAATCTCTAATTGTTTTCTATTTCTATTTCATCCCCCATCTTAGAACCCAGTATAAAAGCTATCATTTAAAAATATTTCATACCTCTTTTCTTCTCATTTGCTTTGGGTAGAGCATGAAATCTCACCGAATTTTAATTACAGATCATAAATGATGGTGATTTCAAATTTGGAATATTTTAATTAAAAACAATTATAAATGTGGCATCAAATGATATTAAATATTTTACATTCATAGCATAATAGCATCAATAGGCTTCAGCTTAGTATCATGTATCTTTACATGTATATTATGGTATAGAGTAAAAAAGGAAAAAGTACAATAAAGTTGTGAAGTGAACTGAAGTAAAGAAGGACTAAGTTAGGTTCAGAATACTATTTATTATTATTATTATTATTCAGGGAATATAATACACAGTGTATAGTAAATACTTCCTGTGTGTCCAACATTGCTTCAAGAAGTCGCGAGTTATTCTTTTCACACCTAATCAGAGACACACAACTCAAGACAAAAAAAACCTTATGTAATAAAATTGTCTACTACTGAATATCAAATATGAGTTGCAGGCTTCATAAGAAGTCACAGGAGAGGCTCATGTGACCAGGAACGACTGGAAAGGCATGATGATTACTGATACTTTCAAATTCTGGGTAATTTTGTATTTTCTTTTGTTTTTATTAAAGCTAAACTGCTTTAAAACTCAATGAAGCCAACATGTCATTTTTACAATTATAACAATAGATACCTGATGTAAGTTTTTTGTGTTTATTCTACTTGTTTTACTTCTCATAGTAGGGGGCTGGGAATTGGTCTAGCAGTGTGTGGGGAGAGACTTGGGCTACAAAGACACCCCAGATTGTGACTCCAGGCTTTGGGAGAACCCACACTGAGATCTCAGTCTCTTAGCTGGAAACTACAGATTGTCCAAATGCAGGAAAATGTTTTCTAGCTTTTAGAAAAGCAGTTTAATTATGGGAATACAGTCACAAGTACCACTCTTATACGTAGTCTTATTTTAGAATTAGTCACCTCAAATTTCTACATTCATCCTCTTCCGCCAAAACCAGATAAACAGAAACAAGAATTACTTTTCTTGGCATTTGGCTTCTTTAACTGCCCCCCTAGGCTACGACGACAGTGTAAAAATGTCCTGAGATGCTCAGGGGCTGGGGGAATGAGGGAAGGAAGAGCAAATAGGCTACAGCATCTTTAGCTTGGCTCTGCTGGCCTGAAAGGAGCTTGAGATGGGTATTTGATGTTAGCACAGCTCCAGAGACATAGGGGTAGATAAATATTGATGATAACTATGTTTTCTGTAATTCTGAGCAGTAACTAAGCCAAAGGAGCAGACTTCTCTGGCTGCCTTAAAGAAACTGCTCCACAGACTGATAAACAGCTTTGTCAGGATATTTGTCTCGGTAATTAAAGACTTTCCAATGTGGATGTTAAAAGCTTGAACTAATGCAAATACTGCCAAGACCTGGTTTGGATGATATTTCTCTTTTTTAAGCATTATTATTGTTATTATTATTTTTGAATGACATTTATTGGTTCACTTTAGGCATACATAATGATAACAGGCACTGTAGGGAATTTGCACCTGTACACGATACATCCCACCTCTTTTTCCCCAGAACTTCCTTCTCTCAAGTCCCTTCCCCTCCCTGGGTACAAAAGCTCTGTTTTGAAGGGTATTTCTTAACACTTACTTAATGTACAGTGCTAGGTCTGTAGCTAAAATAGCCTGCTTGATTATTTTCAGTGTGGTCTTATATTCTTCAATGGAGAGGCCACTGAGAATCTGATTGCCCTTTATAAAAAAAGAAAGAAAACTATCGTTAGCTATTGTTAGCTGAAGAAGGTACTGACAATAACAGAATGTGGAAATATAATCATGTCTTAAACACATGCCTAGCATTTTGCCCTCGTGACTATGGAGGATGCTTGCTTAAATACCACGGAATCAAGTCATACTTCCCCTCTACATCTCTCACTCCACATCTTGTCATATAAGGAAAAAAAGACAGCTTCATATCTGCCTACACATGCATGTTTATCCAACTCTTCTACTCTTTGAGCCTTCTGCAGACCTAAAATGTAGTAGCTACCTACCCTTTCCTTTTGAACAGTTAATCCATTTAATCTAAGACCAAGCAAAACTTTGAAAAATCAAAGCCATATCGATGGGCGCAAAGAACAGCATTGTGAAATTTTTAACTAATTGATTATTATAAAGTCACTTCTCTATGGCTTTTGTAATAAACCCAGTAATATTTCTGGTGCTATTATAGGTCTTATTCAACATTGAGAATCATGTGTGTTCCCTAGGAAAATAAGAATATGGTGGCTAGTGGTATAAGAAAGCATGAGCTGAACCATCTACAAGGAAGACATAAAAAGGGGGCTGGATCCATGTGCACATCATTAAAACTTTTCCCTACATAATCACTTTTTATGTCTTGCCTTTAATTTAAAGCAGAAAAGTTCTATCATCTTGACTAAGTAAAACACACAGCTTGGGCACTGAGTATATGCAGAACATCTGTAAATTGAGCCAGATGTGTTTCATAAATCACAGGGCCAAGGAGAAGCCCGGTGGCTTAGGAATAAGATCCAGAGGCAAAGGGTTTATTGCGAAGATGGGGGAACTGCGGGAGTGCTGGGTGGAGGCCAAAACACACGGGTTAGCAGATCACCCTGCGCTGCAACTGTGGCATGGACCTAATTAATAACAAAAATCTGTGATTACAATAAAAACATTTTAAAACAGTAAATCATTTTAGATTTGAGGCCAACAGAAAACTATTCAGAAACTTCTGATACTTAAGATAAAAATTTGAGCAGAAAATGATGTCTTTGGTGCTATATTCTTATTTTTCTCCCCAAATGCAAAAGTGGTAATTTTTTTCGGCAACTGTGCTTAAAGAGAGAATATACAGACAGCTCTGATCATGCGAGCCAGCCATATATACAACTGGACATGTTTAGGTAATAACTTATTACACAAAAGAGGCTGGTGTCTTTTCCTCCTTGAGGAGACAAAGTACTTAACATCCAAAAGTTAAGGGAGAAAAGGTTCATTTAGTTGGCAGTCTGTAGTTCAGTCCATACTCAGCTGGCTCTAGGGTAGGGTAGCATGGGAGATAGGCATCGCAGGGGAAAACGGTCCTTGGCAGGCAGAGGTTAGTAAAGTGAGCAAGCGAGCGAGCAAGCAAGGGACAGCCACAGCTCTTTCTATCCCTTCTATTTTATACAGGCTGCTTATGGTGGGTAGCACTCACACGCTTAATTTTGATGCCCCGGAGCCTAGCATGGCACCACGAATTAATTCCAGCATCACATACTCTAGATCTAGTCAGTTCGAAAAAAGCCCCATCTATGACTGAATGAGGCTTTGGGGGAACATCTAGACACAAGCCATAAGACCGCGTATAGTGGTGTGCCTCTGTAATCCAAGCTAATTTCCCGAGACAGAAGGATTGCAAGTTTGAGGCCAGCCTGGGTAACTGAGTGACACTGTTTCAAAATAAAAAATAAAAAAGGGTGGCGATACACCTTGGTGGTAGAGCAGCCCTAGGTTCAATCCCCAGTATCACAGACACAGCAGTAACTACAATAGGAATATCGTTGCATGTGTTTAGCAAATAAAGGTTAGCATATTTTCTTCCTTTGGAACTGATATACAATAGGCTATTAAAATAAAAGTTTTAGTTTAAGTACATTGATAGCAAATTCCCAGCAAGTAGAGATGTATCTACTACGGTGGAACATATATATTTTTGCAAAGTTTCAGTTTTGGGAAACTACACACTGAAAATAACATGGTTTGTGGGAGAAACAGTGCTGGGGCAGACTCCTCAGAACCTGTGCAACTTTGTAACCAGAACCTAAACTTGATCCACAACCAGTGCCTCTGTCTGCTGGCTCTGCAGGCTGCTTTGGAGGATGTTACACAGAGACCGTGGGGCTGTGTAAAGGTGGGTGCCAAAAGAAGAGCAAGTGCCAAGAGCCCGCAGCAGTAAAAGCCAGGGGAAGGGCCCTGGCTGCCAACATATTTTTATTATTCTTAAAATGGAAAAAGCTATATATGTGCAGAGGTTAAGTGTAGCTTTTTAAATTATTACACACACACACACACACACACACACACACACACACACACACACACACACACATATATATATATTTTTTTTTTTTTTTTTTTTTTTT